AACCCAAAGGTAACTGTTTTTTAAAACCCCTTTTTAACCGGGGGTTTTCTAAAAAAGAAAAAAGAAAGGGTACACCCGGTTGTTTTGGGGGGAATAAAGAAGAAATTTAAAAATGTTAATTTTGGAGGGTTTTCAATAAATATAAATTTTTGGAAGAGGGAAAGGTAAATTTTGGGAGAGGTCTAGTCCTTTTAAAAGCGGGGGGGGAAAAAAAAATTTTTGAAAAAAAAAAAAATTTTTTAAATTTTTTTTTGGGAAAAAAATTAAATAAAGTATAATTAAAGAATTAAAAATTTTATACAATAAATAATTAAAAATTTAATAATAAAATTATGTAAATAAAAAACTATCTGGGCCCTCGCCAAAAGGGGCATCGCATTTTTTTTTAAATTTCCCCAACGTGCATTTTAAAGAAAAAATTTTGCCCCCACGCTAAAAAAACTCGCTCAACGCGTTTTCTTCCGGACGTTCCACGTGGGGGCTGAGGCAGCCCCTTTTCCTGGGTGGCAGTTTTACCCACCTCCACGGCCTCCGCATCAACGGAACAATTCGATTTCACGCTTTTTTAGTGATTTCACCTGCAAAATAAATGACCTTTTGGGCCCCCAAAAAATTCTAGTGCCAACCCTAAGGAATAAGGGGGAGAATTTCTAGGATTGAAGAAAGAGATCATTTTGCTGGTATGAAAGTGGATGCGTGTCCCGAGTGGCCAGGTTTTTTTAGTAAACCCCAGTCAACCTCGCTACTTTTGTGGCCAAGAAAAGGCAATCAAGGAAATGCTTTGCCCAAAAGGGGAACTTTGTTTTTTGAACAGAGATCGCAAGTGATGAAGATTTTGAGAGACTGTTTTGGTGTGGATAAACAAAAACAGATGCAAAGATAGGATCCTCAACGATCAATGCGAAAAGGCAAGGAAGTTGCATGAGGATTTAAATTAGAAAAATGCCTCAACTATGTGATGGGAGTGAATTTAAAACCAGCAAATGTTGGTTTTAGTAGATTTAAGAAGCTTATGGCATACATAGTATGATAGAGGCATGGTGAGGCTGCCAGTTCGACCCACCACAAAGAAGCTCAAAATATTTATTTTATATATATTATCACACGGCCTATTCCCACCAAGCAGGGTGGCCCGAAAAAGAAAAACTTTCACCATCATTCACTCCATCACTGTCTTGCCAGAATGGTGCTTTACACTAACAGTTTTTAACCTGCAACATTAACACCCCTCCTTCAGAGTGCAGCACTGGAAAAATATTGCATGAATTCAATAGTACATAGACAGTGATACTGAAACCTGAACAATTGTTTAATTTGTGACGCAACAGGCCATTCTATGAAGAAAATGCCAAGCAGACCTACATTATTCATGAGGAAAAGGCACCCCCAGGACATAAGCCAAGAAAGACAGGCTTACTTCTGTTAAGTGTGCAAACTGTGTGTTTTGCAAAGTGAAAGCCTTTATTGGTGTGGATCACTCAGACACCCCAGAGCATTCAGGCAAAATAATATCCTCAAAGGCTAATTTGTTGATGCTGTGAGGGCACACCGTAATGCATGGTTCACTAGGGACTTTTTTTCTATGACTGGTTACACCATGCAATTGCCCCCACTGTGAAAAATTACCTAATAGAAAATAACTTGGACTTAAGTGCCCTCCTGGTATTAGACCAATGCATCTGTGTCATATATCCTTCAGAGTGATTTTATCAGCAGACATGATCTCTTTCAGACAAGTTTTTGCCTCACTAATACCACTGTCCACCTCCTGCATCCCAAGGACCAACAGGTCATTGCAAACTTCTAAAAACTGTAACACAAAACTCTGTTTTTGAAAGTGCGTTGTAGTGACCTCATAAACTCAATTGACTCTAAGAAGTTTTGGAGAGATCACTTTAATATCCCTCATTTGTGAAAACCTTATAGGTAAGGCTTGGAGGGAGTGACTAAGAGACCTAGAAACTCTGCTTGGAAGAAACTGAGGCCAGAATTGTATACCAAGGGATTTTGGAAGGGAAATGAGGCTACCCTGAGCAGCGTAATCCAGTTGAGAATCCAAATTGTGGCATTGGGGAAGTCCTTGGTAGGAGGTTAGTGTGGAGGAAGTGGAAGAGTTGGTGTAGAGACAATAAAATAACTAACTCATTGATGAGCTGCGAGATCATCTTCCAACATCAAGCGGGCAGACCTTAGGAATACAGCTTCGGAGTAGGGGAGAAGAAATTGAAGAGTTGGCCTACTTCAAAGATTAAGGAAATATGAGCAAATCTTTATGGATAATAATCACCCTCAACCCCAGCTATAGCAAGCCGTGCTGAGACTATTACACTGACAATGTTTGTGAAACACTTTAGAAAAGTCATAAAGAACGAAGGTAACAGGCCTCTTATGGACAATATGTTGTGCGACAGAAGTCCAGTGATCTCAACTGTCCTAGTGGAATTAAAAAAAGAATGAAGTAACCCCGGAAAAGGACTTGCTAACCTCAAGTTCGTAATGGTAAGGGATATCCCTGTTCTAAACATCAAAGATCATCCATACACACACCCTCCGCCCATTCCATCAATCATCTACCAGTCTTCAATAAAGGTAATTCATGTAACTGTGCAAGTCTTCTTCAGCTTTGTGTGATTAAAAATAATAATTCAAGTGGTAAATTTTTTTTTCATACTTTTGGTGTCTTGCATGATTAATTTGATTTCCATTATTTCTATGGGGAAGATTAATTAGCCTAATGATAATTTCGCCCAACATTGGCTCTCGGAACGGATTAATAGCGTCTAGGCGGGGTCACTGTTAGTAATAATAATGTACTACATATAATAATATAATAATTAGACGGCTTCAAAAGGCCGTCACTAGATGGCTAGTGGTTACCACCACAAGAGGGCGCAGTAGTGGCCGCCTTCCACCTCTTACATAATGACATATATTTAATAATCATTACTAGAGTAATATCAGGTTTCAATGAGTTTAAATTGATTATTATTTCATTTAGACAAACTATGATAGATAAATAAGCCCTAGAGTTGATGAAATCAAAATATCACGGAGTATGTTGTCCTGTCCTCTAGACACACTCTCGTCTTGTCCTGCCGACACTTTTGCCCATACCACTACATGAATGACGTGTATATACACTCTAGAGTATATAACAGTTTCAATGAGATAAATATTGTTTATTATTTCATCAAAGAAGAACTGTGATAGGAAAAATAAGACCCGAATAGATAATATTAGCGAAATTATTCATGAAAAACACCTACCATCACCGACTAACGACCAAGCATGGTTCCGACCACCCTTTCGTACGTCAAATGGAGTAAGTCAAAACCTTTGAAAATTGGCCGACATACTGGGTAGGCATAATGTCAAACTATTCCTATATAACCTAC